ATGTCCAAAGCGTTAAAGGCTAACGGAATCTTTCCTCCTTCTCCCTACTTCCAAAACCCGCAAGAGAAAAGATTACAGTATTACATTTCTAAACCATATTACCACAATACAAGAAAGACTAATAATACCGAGGACCTCCAGATAACAGACAACAACCGTTGGAGTAAAAGGATGTAGCTACGAGAACCGTCACCATTCTGTCTTCACGGTCCTGTAGGGAATTTTTGTCCGTAAGGTTTTGCGGCTGGGGTACATTATATACTCTCGCACACTTACTGTAACTACCACCCTCTTAAGTTATGTATCTGTTGTGCTCTGTGACAGCGAGTCCTGTATGCTTCTCAAGTGTTGTTTGTTTATCTTTTAATCCTGACATGTGTGAACTGTGCAGTCTTCTTATGTACATTATTCTTTTGTATAAACTCACGTGTTCATGAGTATAACCTGCAGTTTCTTTGTAGTTTATTTAACCTTCTGTGTGTCTGCTTTTGTCTCTGAGTACCGCCACTAATTTCTTTGCTGCTTGTGACTGGCGTGACTTGCCCACTTGATGATTCATTCTTATCACAGTATCTCAGGAATGACTCCTAGAGAATTCTTCCCGTTATATTTTAATTTCTACTTACTCCTGTTGTTATTATGCACCATTTTCCCCATACCTGTATAGGTTTCTATACATGAGACAGGAACATAAAAAGATTTTGCTAGTATGCATAAAGTTAACCCTTATCATCCTTGTGTATCTTTGAAAGTCCAGTCTTATGTGCATCACACTATCATACAGCAGAACCATAAACCACAAATCTGAAGTTCAGCCAGCAGGTCCAGGGTTTTAATTACTTCTTTCCATGTCATAAAGGTTAATTTGCTCTAATATTTAAATTTAGAATCCAAGTACTGCTAAACTCATTATTACTGAAAGGGGCTTTCCAATATCTCAAGAGTCAACTACTGAATGAGCTAGCACCACACAGCTCCAAAATTATAAAAATAAAGCTTTTCTTATCAATGGGGTGGTTGGTTTATACATTATTTAATGAGCCTGTGGCAACTAAAGAGGTTATTTATATAAAATGAGTATTGTGAAATGGAAAGAATGGGCAAGGCCTTATTCCATTTGTAAAACCTCAGAAAAGAATCAGGTACCTCACAATGCAAGTTAGACATGATGCCAAAATGTTTGGTTCATAGGATGTTAAGCTACGAGAAGCAAAGTATGTCTGCAGTTTAATTCTGATGCCCCACTTTTGAATGTTATCTACTATTAACAGGATAAACCTTATCAAAGAGACTCTACTTGCCTTCAGGGTTGTGACATCATGAACTCTTTGTACATTCTTATAAACGCTCCTCTGAAATGTTGGTTACTGCCACACATCATAACCCAGAAGACCACAACTGACATCAAGACCACTGACAGAACTTCATTTCTGACAAAGTCTGTATGTCCATTGGTTTATTACTAAAGAAGTTAGGTAATGTATGCACAGCATATAAATGCTTCCATTTTGATTTAGTGATATCAGAGTCGGATTTGCGTGGGTTTCTGGCTGGGATTCCCCATTCTGTAATTTCCTAACACAGAAATGCATGTAGGTCTTAATGTACAGTGCCTGTGTTTGTGAAACTTTAAATTTGAAAAATTTCAATACATTTTAATATTTTCCCATATTTAATTTCATGAAAATCTGTTCACTGGTTCATGACAGACAGACAGAAACAGGAAAAATAGGTGCATTTTTGCAAATTTTAGTTGCAAATTTGCCCAAAAAAAATACCAATAATTTTTAGACAGTAATTTAATTCTCATGGACCATGAAGGTGTAGAACTACTGCTTCAGATTGCAAGATGCCCAGTTTCAGTTAAAGCCACAGAGCTGGCTATCCTCATTGATATATTTATGGTTTTCCCCAATAACACCTGGCAAATTCCACAACTCTACGTTAGGCCATGATCACTTCTGTCCACATTTCTCCTGAGTCAGTATTCATAATTGTCACATCTAAGTGATTTTATATAACATCTCCATTTAATACTGTGTGATCATTTTACTTGTAAGTTAGTTAATAATTAATTTTAATATATAATAAAGACATAGATTTTAGGTTTCAAAAGTCAGAAACTTGCTGTCGATGAATTGGAGTTGTGTTATGAAAGAAAGCTCAGTCACTTGGAACTCTCTTTAATATGAAATGCATTCAAACAAGTTCATCCTGTTTGTACATAATGAGGACAAACCGTGCAAAAATACTGACACACTATCAAACATTCATCCTGAGAATTAAACATACAATAGAAAATTTTGTTTTCTCAATTAACATTATCACAAGCCTAATTTGAACATGGATATCAAAACTATACATTGCAAGTGAGTATTAAGTTACCTAACACACCGAGCATGCTTCCTTTTGCAATTTAAGGGTTTCAGAAATTTGTCATTAACAAGAGTAGTACCTGATGAAATACGATGTCAAATAATTACAAGTACAAATACTGTATTGAAAATTTTTAAGCTGCAGCATGAAATTTGCTATTTTTTATAAACATGCCACTTGTCATGTCTTTTTGTTTTGAAGTTCACCATTGGAACATTTGTTCTCTTTGTCCGAGACAGAGCTTGTAAAATGCACTCTGCCAGTTGCTATAACTATATTTATAAAAGGCCAGTGGACAGTCAAATGGTAATCTTAATTTTCAGTTTTCACTTAATTTTTGTGAAAGAATTCTCTGAAGAAGACAATAAGTGATTTCTGTGTTACGTCTAGTAGATTCTACTTGCATTTACTGATCACCGATAGACATAAATTTTAATTCTTCTGTGACCTAAATTTATAAATTGATATACACTAACAAAATATCAACCTTGCAAATGAGTATGAGGCAAGATGTGGCCGAGTTAGTTTCAGTTGACTTAAGCATGATTTACTTCTATACAAAGTGAGAGATGAAATGTTGATGAATTCAGGTGTCAATCACACTAAATGGGGCAACATCCCAGAAGACAGCCATTTTTATACTTGCTGCTGTAAGAACATCAACATCGAAGCTCCAGTCTATAAAATATGGATTTTTACTACATGAATACAAAATGAAATACAAGGTACCAGAAATGAAATGTTTTAAAAAAAAACAACTTACATGCACATTGGCAAGGACCAAAACAGAAACTCAGATATACAAGAGAAAGTGCAATTATATGAGTTGAACATATATCAGAGAGCACAGAACGATCTGACGCGAACATCTTATACAAAAATACATAAACAACTTTATTCATATAAAACAATAAAATGGAGAGACTCAGGATGGCTTTGAAGAAAATGTTCTGATCATCTATGAATCAGACAAGACTGATTCTTTAAACCTTGCAATTCATGATGATGATATTTAAAATCAGCTAAAACTGACACAATCATAAGACAAAGCCAGATTAAGGTATACAGTCTTTAGAAGCCCTCAATCACATTGCAATCATTACACTATGATTAAAAGTAATATCAGTGATTCTGCACAGGCAATAAGATGAGAGAAGAAAAACATATTTTCTTCAAGTTACTTTCTCTGCAATATTCTTTATGAAACATATTGTTTACATGCACAAACCAAACTAAATTTTCCTATTAAGAGTTTAGAATATGACTTTAATTAGTGAAGAAATCTCACTTTCTGCTGTACCACAAGTAATTCAAGGAAGCATAAGAGAACAAATGCTCAATAAGAACAGACAGGACAATTTAAGTATCAACAGAAAGTACTTGATATGGCTCCACTTAATACAATCTCTTCTAATACTAAAATTTGTTAAGTAACTATATAGGATAATATGATACATGAATGTCTAATATTCCTCTTTCTACAATAATTTTCCGTGTATCATATTTGTATTTAGTTGCCTTCATAGCAATTAAATTTCAAATTATTACCCTGTAACGAGGCTATTCTTTGTTTCACCAATAGCTGCTACTGCTGAAGTTTCATTATTACTATTAACTATCTTTGATGTAAAACTGTTTACATCTTCTGCTGGTCCCATTGGCTTGAACATTTGTATGCTGTCAACGCTGGAGTTACGAGATAGCTGAGCTCGAAGAGGACGGATTGTTTTCAGCTTGGTTGTACCTCCATATGTGAAATGGACATCAGAGCATGTATCAAGTGGATGGATGTGATTGGCTACTGTTGAAGACGTTGGTGTAACATTTCCACTGTCACAATGAGTGGTTTCAATAATTTTATTGTTAGTACCACCAGATCTAAGTTCAAATGAACTCTGAGAGGTCTTCAGTTTTGAATGGGGAGCAGCCAGAGGAACAGAATTAGACTTCTCATAATTTGCAATATCTGAAAGTAGAGAGTTCTTAGTAATATCCACCTCCACCGAAGCACTTTCAATACTTGTAGAGTTTGCTGGGATTTTCTTTTCAGTTACAACAGTTCCATTATCCGTCACTTCAGTTAAGCTGTTTATAACATTTAACCTTTGCTGCTTAATTTGATTATGAGTATTAGCGAAAAATGATGACATTCCAGATAGTTTTGTTGTTAGATTTGGTGAGCTGAGAGTTGACTTGAGGGGAGATGGCATTTCTCTACGTTTTTCTTCTTCTCCCTTGGGTTTTGTATATATTTCACTGCCACCTGAATTTGTTCTCATATTTGCAATTTTGGATCGAGAAGAATATGTATCTTCACTTATTGTAAAGGTTTTGGCTCTCTGAAGTGGGGTATCATGTTTCAGGCTTTTGAGCAGGCTCTGGCCAGCACTGTTGCGTCTGCATTCGGCCACGGAAAGCTGGGCAACGACACGACGGATCTCGCCTGGTATTTCAATGCTGGAGTTAGTTTCAGCCAGGGATGCTATGAAATGCCCCATTGTGGCCACACTGACCTCAAGGCTGCGCACTTGAGATTCTAACCGTGCCAGTAATGCTTGCTGGTGCGCCCGACTTGTCTCTAATTGTTGGACGTTACTTGTGGCAATCTGGGAACACAACAGTGGGCTATTTGAGCATTTTCCCTTATTGGAGGTGTAAATTAATCTACCAGTACTTATTATTAGTCATCTACTTCAAAAAACTACCCAAGTGCATAAATTTTTAGCATTAAATGATATGTGAGAATTATTATATTATAAATTAAATGAAGATAATTAGGATTATTATAAATCTCAGGTCAGATAGATCTATGGTTGAGATTTCACCACATGGACTGTTTGATCCTTGGGTTATTTAATGCTACTGTGTATTCTGCATGTATTATGCAGCAGACAGAACAGGTTCTGGTTCCACCTGAAATTTGAAACAAGTACCTCCAAAATGAGAGTTATATCTGAACTAACCTGCTCCCTGAAAGAAGTTACAAAACATGTATAAATGTAATGCTGAATTCTCAAATTTATGGAGTATAAATATCTGTTCATGCTTCTCCTACTTAGTTTCAACCTCACTTTCATGTTGTGCACCTGATTTTCATTGATGAGGCTCTGAATCAAGACATGGCTGTATAAATGTTATATTTGGCATCAATAAATGCCACTTCCAGGTAAAAGGTTGTTGTTTTAAGTTTAGTTTCAGTATTGATTTAACTATAAATGCAGCAATCTGTGCTTCCAAGAAAGTAAGTACCTCAAGTTGCTCAACAAGTGCTTGATTCTGCTGCAGGAGTGTTCTATTGGTAGCCTCTGCCTTGCGCAATGCCTCCATCTCTTCCGGGCGCGGAGATGACATTTCCTCCTGTAGCACGTGGTACTCCACCTCATATTCATGCAGCTGTTTGCTCACATCCATTGTGAAAACCTATGAAAAAAATACTTATAATTACCAAATCCTCAAGACGCTTATGAGACTATATGACAAATGGAAGTCATTACATTGTACTGAAGTCCAGCTCTCCTGGCCAAAGGTTTGCTTAGTCCACACGAATAATATGGTAATATCATAAAATAGGCAATATTACTATCTTCATTTTTCATTATGGACATAAAAACAACTATTGTGATGAATGTTACTTTGAATTATTAGTTATTATTACTTATTTTTATCCATTAAACTAAAGAATATACACTACAAAATGATCAGGAATACTTTATATTAATGGTAGTCAGAAGTTTCTTTTGAAGGCTGTGGGGTAGAAATAATTGCCTCGTACTTCAACGCTAACCTCATCTTCAGAAGGTGCACACCGTTCACCTGAACAACACTCTCTCAATGAACTTGTGGTTGTACAATTACTTCTGTACTGAAGCAAATGCTGTTACCTAATTCCAAGAGCCTGCATCATGGCAGAATAACCATTTGCATTTGGTGTGGAGAAAATGCACCTACCAAAATGTAGTTTCAATTAAAGTTCTGTTTATATGAATTTTGTAGGTTTAAAATTCCATTAATTTGTTGAAAGTTGTCAAAAAGCAGTACTGTTTAATTTCAAAGCAACCAATCAAGCACTCAATCATGGATAACATAATGGGTTAACGTGTACGAAAATCAGACAAAATGGTTGCTGACAGGAACAATGACCACGTGGGTGGATATGGTTTGATTCGTGTTATAATTTTTTTAGTAAATTTTTCTTTTAATTTAAATTTCTTTTGGACTGGTGTAGCTGGTCTCAAAGGATATGTCCTTACATTTCAAACATTCTCATTACTGATAATTCCTTAAACCATCATGAGTTTCCACATGCACAGATTTTGAATTATTTACACTGCAACACAGTGCAGTAAATCTCGTGCAGAAAATGTTAGGACAAATATCCTACAGTTAGGGCAGCCAGAGTCCAACATTCTGGCACTACCTGTTTCATCACTTTATCCAGTATTTTCTTGTCTACTGTTGGTACTACATTTTTAAGGTACTCCATGATCTCCTCAAAGCTGTCACATGCCAAAAGTCCATCCTTGTGTTCCCCCAGCAGAGCTAGCGCCACTCGGAACACAACTTCTGCGTTCTCTAGAAACAACAGATCTGAGGGAAAAGAAAGTACATTACTTGAAGCTTCATATAAAGTGGTACTCCAGATTATTCAAATGAACAGATTTGGTAAGTGAATTCCAGTGTGGACTTCAACATAAAATTTGTTTAACATCCATTCAGCCAAAGTACAGATTAACCATTCTAATCTGAGAGGTCATGAATTACAATCTCAGGCCAGAGGTCAGTTTATGTTGCTAATCTTCATGGTATTCCTCGCCATCTACAGGTAAATAAAGGAATGCCTCCTTAATTCATTAACATCCTATTTATTTATATTTTATTTAATAATGCTTTCAGTAGCTCAGTAGCATCAAATGAGAGGATGATGGTGAATAATGAGTGGAAAAGGAAGTGGTCATGGCTTAATTTAAGGTATCATCCTGGCATCTGCCTGTAGGGACCAAGGAAAAGAACAAAAAACCTCAGTCTGGACATCCAAACCCAAAGCCAAGATTTGAACCTGGGATCTCCCAAATATGAAGCAGGAGTGCTAACCACTCAACTATGATGTTTGGTAATCATCCTATAATTTGACAATGCAGAACCCATGCAGTTTATAAAAATAATTCAACACACAAGCAAGATATAAAACGCTGATTATATGCAGTGCATGAGAAAGAATTTGGGGGCATTTACATGGTTTATTACAGGATTATATCTGAGAATTTTGTCGAGGATCTGCTCAGTGAAAAAGTGGAGGTACTTCGGCTTGTCACGAATTTCACAACCACAGAACTGAACAGATTCACATATATGGCCAAAGCACCGAGGATAAGGTTCAGAAAACAGATGGTTGCATGTGCAATGTAAAAATATTTCAGCTTTTAACGCCAATCTCGCCTTACTCAAAGAATCAGTTTGCAAGTCACAATTATGACTGTATTAACCACTGGATATGGAGTGGAGGAAATTTATTAACTCAATCTAAATTAGTTTTAAAGTTCAGCTTTGATTTAGCTTAATTTGCTGATAATTGTGAATAACCAGAGCTGTCATGTTAAATTTAAATTAGGATATAATAATGAGTTTTTGTGATGACAGTGATGGGTTCTATAACAGGGAATAACCAGCCATAAGATGCTTATGAAGATCCTTTAAGAATGAGTTTAAGCAAGAGTCTTTGTTTTATGCACAGACACTACAGAACACAAGACACCTACCAAAAACCCTGGTAACAAAGCCAAGTGGGAACTGTGAGGCAAACAGAGTCAGTATCCATGGAGCTGCATACAGGGTGGGGGCCACTTCATGTTTGTCAAAGTGGACATACAGTTCAAGGTGCTGGTCATGTAGGAGACGTGACAGCTGGTACAACTGCACCTGCAGTGCTGCCATGTCAGGGAGGTACTGACGTCGTAAACCTCGTCGGAACATCAGATGACGAAGCAAGAAGAAGGCCGATTCTTCAGACATCTGCAATAAGGGAGAAAAATTTTGAAATTCATAGATATATTTATACAAAACTGCATAGAAAATACAGTGACATTACTTCCAAGCATTCTGTTAATCAGTGAATATTTCAGGTGGGAGAGTTGGATGTTCGTCTGCAGAGATTTGGACTACTGGCAGAACTGACAAATCTAAAGCCTAAAACCATTAAAGAAATTCACACTGATTAAAGTAGATGTATACAAATGTCCTTTGTTGTAATGCATACATTACTGGCTCCTCCATATAATGTTTACGTTGACATATTGACGTTCTTCTAGGAAAACTTCCATTTGTATATTTCCACTTCTTCGATATTATGAAATTTTTAGGTGTGATCTTTTTGTTTTAGTGTTCCCCATAAATTAAACTCACATAAGCTGAGGTCAGGGGAGCAAGCTATCTATAAACCACTACCAATAATTCTGTGCCTACACACCACTGGTTAACCCTTTGAAGACACTCTGGGTGTAGCTTTGTGTGTGTTAAGATTTCTGTCTTCTGGGTTGTTGCGATGAATCGCCCTGATGATGGAGGCAGTATGACCTCTGAAACGTTGGTAAACATCTACCAGACTACACAGCACAACAACCCAGAAGACAGAAATCTTCATACTCATCGCCCTGATGACGGAGGCAGTA